GAAGTAAAGCTGTCACTGTTTGCTGATGACATGACACTATACACAGAGAATCCTAAAGATGCTACCAGAAAACTAATAGAGCTAATCAATGAATTTGGTAAAGTAGCAGGATACAAAATTAATGCACAGAAATATCTGACATTCCTATACACTGATGATGAAATATCTGAAAGAGAAATTAAGGAAACACTCCCATTTACCATTACAACAAAAAGAATAAAATACCTAAGAATAAACCTAGCTAAGGAGACAAAAGACCTGTATGCAGAAAACTATGACACTGATGAAAGGAATTAAAGATGATACAAACAGATGGAGAGATATACCATGTTCTTGTATTGGAAGAATCAACATTGTGAAAATGACTATACTACCTAAAGCAATCTACAGAGTCAATGCAATCCCTATGAAACTATCAATGGCATTTTTCACAGAACTAGAACAAAACATTTCACAATTTGCATGGAAACACAAAAGACCTCAAATAGCCAAAGCAATCTTGAGAAAGAGAAACTGAGTTGGAGGAATCAGGCTTCCTGACTTCAGACTATACTACAAAGCTACAGATATCAAGACAGTATGGTACTGGCACAAAAACAGAAATATAGATCAATGGAACAGGATAGAAAGCCCAGAGATAAATCTATATACATATGGTCACCTTATATTTGACAAAGGAGGCAAGAATATGCAATGGAGAAAGGACAGTCTCTTTAATAAGTGGTGCTGGGAAAACTGGACAGCTACATGTAAAAGAATGAAATTAGAATACTCCCTAACACCATGCACAATAATAAACTCCAAATGGATTAAAGACCTAAATGTAAGACCAGACACTATAAAACTCTTAGAGGAAAACATAGGCAGAATACTCTGTGACATAAATCACAGCTAGATCCTTTTGGACCCACCTCCTAAAGAAATGGAAATAAAAACAAAAATAAACAAATGACACCTAGTGAACCTTAAAAGCTTTTGCACAGCCAAGGAAATCATAAACAAGACAAAAAGACAACCCTCAGAATGGGAGAAAATATTTGCAAATGAAGCAACTGACAAAGGATTAATCTCCAAAATTTACAAGCAGCTCATGTAGCTCAATATCAAAAAAACAAACAACTCCAATGCAAAAATGGGCAGAAGAACTACACAGACATTTCTCCAAAGATGATATACAGATTGCCAACAAACACATGAAAGAATGCTCAACATCATTAATCATTAGAGAAGTGCAAATCGAAACTACAATGAGGTATCACCTCACACCAGTCAGAATGGCCATCATCAAAAATCTACAAACAATAAATGCTGGAGAGGGTGAGGAGAAAAGGGAACCCTCTTTCACTGTTGGTGGGAATGTAAATTGATACAGCCACTATGGGGAACAGTATGGAGGTTCCTTAAAAAACTAAAAATAGAACTGCCATACGACCCAGCAATCCCACTACTGGGCATATACCCTGAGAAAACCATAATTCAAAAATAGTCATGTACCACAATGTTCATTGCAGGTCTATTTACAAAGCCAGGACATGGAAGCAACCTAAGTGTCCATCGACAGAAGAATGGATAAAGAAGATGTGGCACATATATACAATGGAATATTACTCAGCCATAAAAAGAAATGAAACTGAGTTATTTGTAGTGAGATGGATGGTCCTAGAGACTGTCAGAGTGAAGTAAGTCAGAAAGAGAAAAACAAATACTGTATGCTAACAGATATATGGCATCTAAATAAAAAAAAGGTTCTGAAGAAGCTAGGGGCAGGAGAAGAATAAAGATACAGACGTAGGGAATGGACTTGAGGACATGGGAAGGGGGAAGGGTAAGCTGGGACGAAGTGAGAGAGTGGCATGGACATATATACACTACCAAATGTAAAATAGATAGCTAGTGGGAAGTAGCCACATAGCACAGGGAGATCAGCTCGGTGCTTTGTGCCCACCTAGAGTGGGCACAGGGAGGGTGGGAGGGAGATGCAAGAGGGAGGAGATATGGGCGTATATGTATATATATATAGCTGATTCACTTTGTTATAAAGCAGAAACTAACACACCATTTTAAAGTAATTATACTCCAATAAAGATGTTAAAAAAAATAAAGTTTGGGGTTAGCAGATGTAAGCTATAATATATAGAATGGATAAACCACAAGGTCCTACTGTATAGTACAGGAAACTATATTTAATACCCTATGACAAACCATAATGGAAATGAATATAAAATAGAATGTGTGTATATATATATATATATATACTTACATACATATAACTGAATCACTTTTCTATACAGCAGAAATTAACACAACATTGTAAGTCAACTATACTTAAAAAAACCCCCAAAAAATTAACCTGTCCTGTGTCCCAACCTCATGGCCCCCTTCTTAGAGAGGTACCAACAAGCTAATCTGACAAACAAATTCCTATCCACGTATTAATTTCTTACCCTTCTTAGGTAAATGTGTAGGTTTTGAACAATGCCCTGCTTCAGTCAATGCAGGCTCAAATGATAGGCATTTGAAGGACTCTGGTAGGCAAGCACCGTGGGGGAAAACATTATAGGCTTAGAGTTTTAGAGTGACCTCAAAGCATACTCTATGGATGGGCCCATCCTCCCCAGCGCCCTGGGCTGCTTCGAAGTTCCTCCTAGTCTCTTGCAGTTTGGGGAGAGTTAAGGTCAAAGATGTGTAGATGGGAGCCTGGGAAAGAGCTGGATGTGGGAGGGTTGGAATGGGCAGAGCCTAAAGGATGCCAACCTCCTGCAAAAGAACCTGGCATGCCATGCAGAGTGGCATTCTGTTCCACTCTGGGGAGGAGGTGCCAGGGAGAGGTTGTTAGGGAGGGGTCATCACCACTGGACAGGATTGAAGGGTTAACAGTTCAAAGAGACCAGAAACCAGACTGAAGGCCACAAAATGGACTGTGGCACTTCCGGTGGGGTCTCAGACAGGAAGTGTGATTCTACTCTTAATTCTAATCCTCCTTTATAGGGACCGTTTTGTTTCCTCTGAATTCTTTTATGAACATTGCTTTCTGGATGTTCCTTTCACCCTGAAACTGAGCAGTGTTTCTGTTTCTCTTGGACAACCATGGGACTGCTCTCAAGTTCTTGCCTGTGTTTTCACAGATACCTACTGGTATCAGAAGCCAACACTTTCACACCAAACACTAGGTTGGGTAGAGGGTGGAGGATAATGAGGGGTGGATTGGTTTGTAAATAAGTATACATATAAATAAAAAAGCGTAGCCAACCAGCCCTGGTGCTTTGCAACGCAATTTAGATCATGCTGTGCTTTTCCGGACCTCATGAAGGGAAGGATTGCTCAAGTATTTAGTGTTACTCTGTCCTCTCTCGTTTGCCTTTCATTCAATCAAACCTCATGAGGCATTTGGCATCAAGGGGCAGAAGCCTAGGAAGAAGAAAGAAACTCCGAGAAGCTGGTGGTTTGGCTGGGTTGATTCACCGGTTGCAGTGTTACCAAATACTCCTGGGCTTTAAGCCAAAGGGTCTTGCTGTGAGGAAGCAGTTTGACAACTTATGGCATCCCTTCTTCAAGTCCTTGCTAATGTTTACTCTGAACACTGTAAATTTCAGTCTACTTGCGTGAAAAATACAAGTCTTGCTGGGCTGAGGTAACTTAGAGCAGGAGTTTTTCTTGTGGGGGATTTTGTCTCCCCCAACCCAGGGGACGTCTGGCAATGTCTGGAAACATGATTTTATTGTCACTACTGAGGGGAGGACTTTCTCCTCTCTGGAACCCTAGGCAACATCTGAAGACATGGTTGATTGTCACAAGTGGGGTGGGGGTGGAATACTGGCATTTAATGAGTGGAGACCAGGGGTGCTGCTAAGCATGCTACAATGCACAAAACAGCCTCCACGACAAAGAATTATCTGTCCTAGAATGTCAGCAGTGCTAAAGGTGAGAAACTCTGGCCCCGAGGGTAAGCCCAGGCTCGGTTCTTGACACTGACGTATCAGATGGTCCTCAAAGGACCATCACTTTTCAGTATTGGGGAACAAGTACCCTGGAGTGACCTCAGGAAATCCTAGGATAATTCTCATCTACCCATGACCTAGTCAGTTTCATATCCTCATGAGTCCTTAACTTAACATGCTCTGAAAGAGAGAGTGCATCCTCAGGGTGACACGTGCCAAGTTGGTCTCAGAAGTCAAGATCCCATTTTTCTGTAGTACATACAGAGGGTAGCCTTGAGGCTTGGTTTCTCCATCTGTCAAGTGGGCTCATAATACTTCACGACCTATTTATCAGCTGGGCCTGGTATCCTGGGGAGATGGAGTTGGAGCATGGTATTTGATCTGGCATGAAGGGGGAATATGCGAGTTAAGTACTTCTACCCAACTCCGACTCCAAAATGGCAATAGGATATTGTAGGTGGGGAGAGGCAAACAACAACCTGTGAGATCCAAGTCAGTAGATTGGGGTTCAGTGGGTCATGGGACCAGGAAGTGATTTTCCCTGCCGATGGTAGATAGGGAAGATGCAGAGCCCAGCATGTCTGAGTCTTTCCATGAGGACTGTCAGTGGGCTGAGAAGAAGGGGACGTGCAGCTGTGACAATAGTAGGGGCTGAAGGGGACACAGAAAGCCATGGCAAGAACTTATGCAGAGCTGCTTGGGAAAACAAAAGCAAATACAATATTTCTTTTTCTGATTTTAAAGGGATAGCACAGTCATTGTTGAAATTGTCTCAAGTACAGACAACTATGAAGAGAAAATTAAAATCTCCCATAAATGCACCACGAGGAGATATCAGCTATTAATAGGTGTGGTATTTTCCTTGAGAAAAACAGAGAAGGGTTTTCTGGGCAGAATAGGCTGGGGAGATCAAAAAGGTCTTTGAGAATAGCAGAATGCAACAATGTGGATGTTGACTGGTTCGGAACTATTCTCTCTGTGAGCCAAGAGAGAAGAGTCCTTTCCTGAGCCTGGATGAAGCGCACGGTAGGACAGTTGGGCGATGTGTCAAGTTCCCCTTACCTCAAGGTTCATGTGGAAAGCATCCTTAGCGTTCGCCTCCATGAATAGAAGAGTTCTTTAGCTGAAAGAGGAAATGACTTATTTTAGCTCAAAGATGACGAAACAGGAGATGCCATTTCTTACTCACTTTGCAGCAATAGCATGACTGAAATCACTGCACTTCAGTGATGGCATAAGACACCTCTAGTTTGTTTTTTTTTTGAATTAGTTTTCTATCAACCTTATTATGAAGTAATTTCAAACATAGAAAAGTTGCAAAAATACTAAAAAAAGTTATATTCCCTTTACCCAGATACCCTAATTATTAATACTTTACATTTGGTTTATCATACTCTTTCTTCTTTTTGTTTTTTAATTTTTTGGCCACACCATGCAGCATGTGGGATCTTCAATCCCAGCCAGGGATCAAACCTGCATGCCTTGCAATGGAAGCCCAGAATCTTAATCACTGGACCGCCAGGGAAGTCCCTATCATCCTCTTTCTTTTCTGTATACACAAATGATTATGTTTATTGAATCATTTGAGAATAAGTCATGATGTCTCTTCACCCTCTAATATTTCTGTTGTGTTTTCTTAAGAGCAAGGGCATTCTCTTATATAACCATAATGTAATGTCCAAAATCAGAAAATTAACGTTGATGTAGTACTATTATCTTATCTACAGATCTTCCTAAAATGTTGCCAGTTATCCTAATTGGGATTTGACTTTGTGAAATTTGGCCCTGGAGACCTTGAATGAAATTTATTGACATATCCTGTCATAGCTATGGCTGAACTGGGCTGCTCCAGCTCAAAGCTCAAGTTTGATTCTATCTCATGGGTTCATATGAGCACTGGCAGAAGCCTGCTTTTCGAGATGTGAATAATTTTTGGTAGTGACAGGGTTGTTCCCTGGGCTGTTGCGTGTGGGCTTATATCAGCTGGGCTATGCCCATCTGGAATCATGGTTCCCATCTTGTTCCTTCCAATATATCTGGCTCTAGGTTTTGTCTAAGACATCTTAAACTCTGAGGACTAACTGGCCTAGGTCTGTGAGGCATGAGGTGACAATTGCTAATAGTATGGATCTGAGTTAGAACAAAAATGATTTCAGGACTTGAATACAAAATAGGCTCCTATATGTGTGCAGTTACTTTTTAAAATTTGCTTTGATATATAGACAACAACTCCTAATTTAGTGCTCAGTTTTCTCTTGCACATTCCATGCGAAAACAAACAATCTAACCAGAGTAGCAGGTCAAATAATACTTTTAAATAATTTCTATGTCTTCAAAATCCAGAATCTTGGGGATTATTGTTCAAGGAATCCAGGGCTGAGTGTTCTCCATGCTGACACCCATGGAGAAGGAAGTGGAAGGAAGGCAGCTGTGGATTGCTAACAGCGGCTTCAAGCTAACACGAATCTCTCTCATACACCCCCAATTCCTCAGCATCACCGCTACTGGCCTAATGAATGCAGAGTCCAGACATCTTTGCAATAAAAACCTGTGATGTGACGAGCCCATTTGAGCGTAAAACGGCCAGCCCCAAGGCATCAGATAATGAGGTGTCTGGTGAACCCAGAGTTCATAACGCAACTGTCTGGGGCAGCTTTCTCAGAAGCCACCAATTTTTCTCCATAGATACAGTGATGCTGAATTTTTCATTTTAAAATTCTGAACATTCTAGAATGTATTTTACATTCTGGGAATCATTTCAGGACTTAAAGCCCTCTCTTTGATAATATTCTAACTCTGGTTAAAACAACCCCTGCTCTGCTCTGTTACCTCCCAAATTAAATTCAAACATTTTACTCTTTGGCAGGAAACGCTGAGGGGTCAGCAGAGGCTAGGGGAGGGTGCAGGGGTGGGGCACAGGAGGAGGGCTGCGTTGGGGGTGGAAAGTCTGGAATGACGAGCAGCAGTAGTCAGGGCTCTGCAGCAAGAAGAAGTAAAGGAGATTGTGGTCCTTTCACTCCTGCAGTTCAACAAACATTGACTGAGTGCCAGGTCTTGGACTCACTTCATTCATTCGTTGTTTATTCATTCAGAATTTTAAAAAATGCCTGGCACACCATTTAGCCCTTGTCGCTCTCTACCCCGACTCCCACACCTACTCTCAGTCCTCTTCTGTGCCCTGTGGGCTGGCTCCTGTGATGCTCTTGTCCTCCAGCTCTGGTTGGGTCCCACCCATGGGAGGCAGAGGATGGGAGCAGAACACATCAGGGTATCTGTTTCCCAAGCCCCCTGTCTTCATACTGGCCTGCTTCCAGCAGTGGTTGTGTCTCCACTGCCACAGCTCCAGGTGGGCAGCCCCAGCTCTCACTGGGTCCCAGCAAAATCCCTCCCTCCCCATTCCCCTCTAGGCAGAGAGGGTGGTGACAAATTCCCTTGTTACGTTTCTCAACTCTGCCCACAGGTATGTAAATTATAAGATGACCTTTTCTTAAACATCCTGGCTAAGTATGTCATCTTTTTCCTTTCTGACCCTGACTGCTACAGCCCTTGAATATATGCTGAATTGTTTTCTGATTGCTTGGGACAGACTGGAAAGATTAAAGTTTTGTAGATAGTGTCTGACACTAGGTTTCACCAGTGCAGGGTGGGGAGGCGTAACTTAACAGAAGCTCCTGGGGGGAGAAATCTCAGAGGCTTAGTCCCTGATAGACTCCAGTATTGTGTGTCAAAGACTGACTTGATCTCTGGCCACATAATTAGAAGTATTATGTCCAGAATAAGGGAGGTGATAGTGCCACTTCATTCTGTCTGTATTTAGAGTTCTAGGCTCAGTTCTGGGCTTTCCACTTTAAGAGGAGACATGTTAGTTGTCTTTAAGTGTTAGAAGTTCTGTCATATGGAGCAGAGGTTGAACAAGTTTTTCTTTAAGGGCCAAATAGTAAATATTTTTGGCTTTGTGGGCCACATGTTCTCTGTTGCAATTACTCTATGGTGCAAAAGCAGTCACAGACAGTATGTGAATGAATAGGCTTGACTGTGTTCTAATAAAACTTTATTTACAAAAATGGTGAGCTGGATTTGGCCTGTAGGCTTTATTTTGTTGACTTCTGATATAAGGGGAAAAACATGGATTTTTTTTCTGGGTGTTTCCAAAAGGCAGAAGTTAGATACACGTGTAAAAATTGTAGGGAGGTCGATTTGTGCTAATTTTAAGGAAGATCTTTCTAAAAGGTAATGACTGTTCCCAAACAGGATAAGCTGATTCATGAGGCAGTAGGTTTCTTGTTATTGAACGTGTTCAAAGGAGAAGCTGAGCATCGCAGAATAATTTTCTGCAGAGCACACGGAGTAACTCAGATGATGAGGAAGGTAACAATACCTCCTATATCTGTATACTTGGTAGAGTACCACACACAGTAAGTCTCCTAGATTTTATACTCTTAGAGGGTAGAGACTGTGCCATATCTATCTTTGCATCCAGCCCACTCCTGAAAGCCTAGGATAGTGCTTTAAACATGGTGGGCGTGACCAATACAGGTTTTGTCAACTTGGCTCTTGAAGTAATCTTGCTGACAGATGAATTAAACTAATTTGTCTTTAGTACAGTCATCACTACTAGTCACGTTGAATTAGTTCAATTACCTCTAATAAGCTTCAATATGGAGGATTTTCACTGAAAAGAACAGACATCATAGTGAACGTTTATTGAGTTCTAAAAGTATGCCAGCTACTGCGCTAAGAATTTTACATGCATGCTTTTAATTCTCCCCAAACCTATGAGGTAGGTGCTATTATCACCCCCATTTTATTGATGAAGAAATTGAAATCCAGAGAAGTCTCAAAGATGGGAAGTGGCATAATCAAAAATCGAGCTGGGATCTCTTTGATGTCAAAGGCTGTTGTCCAACCACAACGCTATCCTGCTTCTCATTCATTTGTTCATTCATTCAGTATTCAACAAACACCCGTTGGCGGCCTGCTATCTGCCAAGCACTTTAGCTGTTGAGGACAGAGCTGTGATTATAAACAGATCAAGTCCAGGCTCTGAAGGAATTTACACTGTGGGTGGGATATATCTGGGATAGATGTATCATCGACAAAGGAGACGATATTAAATGGTAATTCATCACAAGACACAGAGATTAAAAAGAGAATCAATATTTCTGTCCACATGAGAACTTCCGGTATACTCCTGATGAGTTTATCCAAGCTCTTCCTTTGTACTGGCATTGGCCCAAGTTTAGTCTTTAGTCTTTTGTCAAATTCTCAGATGGGTTCAGAGATTCAGAAGGAAGCTTCAAGCATTTTGGGAACTGATGCAGGTCACTATGGTAATTTGTAGATACGTGAATGAAGCCCTCGAAGGGAAGAAAAAACTCACGAAGCACTCAGGTATCACTCTTCCAGGGCAGGTTGAATCTGAGCATCATCAAACTGGGAGACCAGAGGCAAACAGATGAAAAGAGGTAGAAAAAGCCAGTTCAGTTAACACAAAAATAAAGAAAAAAAAAAACCTCTTGGCAACATTCCATTTTTTCCCTTTCCTGAAACACAGAAATACTAAGAGCCTAAATTCTAACTCCCAGCTCCCAGTATCAAAAAAAAGATCAATATTTATAACAAATGCTACAATGTTGAACGGAAAACACACCAACTTGGGTCAAGCGATGGGCCTTGTTTAGAAGGAGGAAAGCTACCAGGGGGTAGGCAGGGGAGTGGAGGGAACCAAAGAGAAATTCCAAAACCTTGAGTGAGATTGAGATTGAGAGAGAGAGTAAGAGTGCTAAGGTTCAAGCAGCACAAAGCCAAATAAATTGTCAGGTCCAATAGGCAAGTGCTCACTGGAATGGGAGACAGAGCCCAAAGGTCAGGGGCTGAATAAACAGGAGCCCCGAGGAGGAAGTGAAAGAATTCAGGACTTTGTATTGTAACTTTTTGGGTGCTAACTGCAAGGTTTGTATCTTGTGCTAACCTCAAGGGGCGGGCACGGATGGCCTAGTTAAAATCACAGGATAGGAACTGACAAATACTAGTGATACTTTTGCAATTCCAGAATTCCTTGTGTTAGTAGATTGCAAAGTGATTTTCAGATTGGTGAGTCCTTATTGCATTTGCATGATCTCATTGCTAAGATCATGGCTAGAAAACAAAGAATGATAATTAGTTAACATTTACTGACTGCCAGACACAGCTTTTCAGCATTTTAATGCATTGTCTCATTTAATCTTCACATGTACATTTTGAAAACCAAGCTCTTTAATAGAGACCTAGTTAAAAAATGATTAAAAACATAGGTACATTTGGAGGAAACCATAAAATGTCATCAGAAACAAGTACTAGTCATTTATTCATTCTTTTGTTTCCTGGGCTATTTCTTCAGCCACTAGTGATCTAGCCCCTAATATGTGTTGGGTACTATTAAGGGTCTGTGCAAGGGTGGTGTTACCGATTTCCCTCATTGTTTAACACACAGGCAGTAGAGGGAGCAAGAGGCTGTGAGTGGCAAAATACCGTTCCGTTTCAGTCCTGCCTCTGACTGTTCCTGTGGTCCTTGGATAGGTAAGTTTCTTCTCTGTTTAATGTCTTCTAGTGTAAAACAAGGAGCTGGGACCACATGATGCTTGAGGTCTTTTAGAATTTAATGGTAAGGTCTTCAGTAGCTTTATAATACATTGTATTTTATAGTGAACATTCACTTATATTCTATCATTATACTCTCCCATCACCATTGGGTAAGTAATAATACTATGAAGCTTTAGGGAAATTTGCCAGGGCTTGAAGCAAGTTCCTCTGCTCTTTCCACTAGAACCCTCTGTCTTCTGTGTATGGGTTCATGCTTAGTTTCCAGAAGAATTATATGAGAGCTGGGTGCAGATATCAGAGGAAAAGGAAGAGATATAGGTGATACAGAAGACAAGGAGAAGTTGTGAGTAGGAAGATGTGCCAACACTCAGGGGTTTCGTGTGTTGTCTCTGAAACCATTTAGGGCTGCTGTGATCACTGAGGAAGTGTATCCAAAGGCACAAGAAGAGAAATCCTCTAACTGGAGTAAATTACATGGAGGTAGATTCAAGTTCAATGACTGGGGAGTGAAGTGCCTCCCTGGACATTCCACTTGTCCATTACTGAATAGAACTACAATGAATGGGTCTTGTAATAAGGCAGAAGCCCTGGACTCAAGAGGAAGAATACCTTTCACATGATTATTATGCCCCAAAGATGAGGTGGACCCCTCTGGTAGGAGACTAGCTGTTTAAGCAGAGGCCATATGAAACCCTACAGGGGTTAGCAACTTGGATCAGGCCTGGAAGACCAGTAAGGGGACTTCCGACTCTGAAATGCTATGGTTCTGGAGACTGGTGTCTTACAATTTAAGCTGTAGTCTATCATTCCTACTCCAGAGTTTAGATATTCCTGCAATCATTTGTTGGGAAAATTCAAGGTCCTTTTCCAGCTACTCATATTCAGGACAAGTTCCTCAATTCATTTCTTTCCAGGAAGTTCCCTGTATGGATCCTTGCCGGCATATCCACCCTCACCTCCTGGTCTTGGTGTTTCTGACCTCCCATTCTTGACAAATATCCAGGATTGGACCATCTTTGGAAGCCAGAGTTGAAATCAAACATCATTGTGTTGGACCAACACATTGAAACTCTATAGTCTTACCAGTCTATTGATTAACAGGGTGACCCTCGCATTTGTGCAGTGTCCTTATTTTCCAAGGTGTTTTCCACCTGCCAGCTTTATCAGAAGTGTATAAGTCAATTGGTATCCTGAGGGTAATCACTTTCACAAGAGAAGGTACATGCGAGTGCTTTGTAAAAGTGAAACACTGTGAAAGGTGAGATTTTTATTACTGTTATAACATGCCCCGGGTCACAGTAAGCAGAGGCATATCTAAAGCATGTTCCTTCAAATCCTTTTGGGCATGAGTGTAAAGTAAATAAAGAGTACTATGGATAATTTACAAAGAACCAAAGTCCAGATCTCCTTGATTGATTTGCAGGGAAGGATAGAATTTAGAGCTGGATTTTACAAGTGTGATAGCGCCAAATCAGGCTCACTTAAAAGCAGGCTGGCTGTTCCAGTCCAATGAATAGCCACGGCATGAATATGAATCCGCATAAATTGGCCAATGGTCATTTTGAATGGGGCAACCATGCGTTGGATGAGGTAGCCACCAGCAGTGGACCTGAACCAAAGGGCTTTCTGCTTATTTTAGCTCAGAGACCACAGGTGTAAATCCACCTTCCCAGAGAAGCTTGTAGCATCTAACAAGCTAGAGTTACACTCCTAATTCAGAGGACAATAAAAAACAACCTCCAACGACGAAAAGACCTTAGCCAGAATTCTCAAGAAATTGGCTTCAAAAATAATCCCCAATTGATTGCAACATTAAGAACATTCTTAAAATGTTACCTTTGTCCTGATGTCTAAACCCCCATGAAGGGGTTTACGAAAAGGTTCTTTATGCATTTGAAGCCGCTAATACTATAAGTGGGGAAAGAACACACTCTTTTAATTAAAAGAGCAGATTGTCATGATTGTGGTAATCTGAATCGAGAACATCGTTTTACCTAGAAATATGAGAGAATAAATATTTCCCGGAGTTAGTATCCAAAGTTTGGGATTATTTAGGATTAGTAGCCAAAATTGTTACTTTACACTGTATAATTAGGAAGGCTGTTTAGAGGAGAATGTTAGAAGGAAAATCCGTTTTAGGTTTCCTGTTACTCCAGCCAGTCGGGGACCATCTAAATGCCATTTGTCTCTAACCCTTGAACTGTCTTCTCCCCCACTCTCGGGGCAACACAGCCAATGACCCTCTTGGAGCAGCAAGTAACTGGCATGTATCAAGGCTAACACTTCTGCTTTGCAGTCTAGTTGTTTGCTTGACTATCCGATGTTGCCTTTTTTAGGTAGTTGAACTTGGTAGGATGATAAACTGTGCTTCTGTTTACTCTTTTGTTCTCAAGGCTAATTTAAAAGTGCTCTTGGTGGGTGAGTGGTGATGATAATGGAAACATCTTAAACCATTAGGTTGAGAACTGAAATACCAACATGGGCACAGGAGACTAATTCCCTAGCTGATGGAAATGAGTCAATGTACCTTCTTTAGCCTGAGTACCATGTGCAGTGTTCTTTTAGGTCAAATAAACCACAGGGTCTGGTTCCCCAGAATTGGGAGAATATGGCATCTAGCCAGAGGATTTGCTTTACTTTGAGGTTCTTTAAGCCCCATGTTTGTTCCAACAGCCTCAATTCAGCCTCTTAGTACTGTTTTCTCCCCATGGGTTTTGGTCACATCATTTTCCAAAGTGGCCCAATTGCATCAATCATTCCTTTTTATTAAAACAAATGTGTGTGTGTGTGTGTGTGTGTGTGTGTGTGTGTGTGTGTTATAGCTATATCCCACTATACGGCATATTGGCTAACATGATTCACTGCATATAGGCACCATGGTCCAACGAATGTGTTAAGAACCAGAACCAGACCAAAACGTATATAAAAGTGACTTGTGCCATTTTTCAGCCATGTGACCTGGAGGAAGATACATAACTTCCTTGAATCTCAATTTCTTCATCTGTAAAGTGAAAATACCTTTTGCTACCTTTTTGGATTGCTGTGAGGATTCGATGCACAGTATCAAGGAACTAGCAAGTAGTGAATACATGCTAGTGATATTAATGGTTAACACTGTTAATTTGTTATGTGCCAGGAATTACGGGCACCCTCAAAGCATCTCTAGGACCTAAGACCCATTATTATCTTCACTTTGCTGATGAGAACAAGAGAGACAGGTTAAGTACTTGCCCAGCAACACAAAGATATGAAATGGCCATGCCAGGATTCCAGAGTCCTCCATCTGGCCACTACTCCCCATGTAAGAAGAGTGGGCAGCAAGTGCTTTGACACCTTAAGAAAGTGGAACCTTATTTGTTCCCTCTCACTCTTCTTTTCCATGCTTCTTCATTCATACCTGAGTCAGAAGCAGGGAAACAGAAACTGATACAATAGGACAGTGTAACCAGTAGACCTCTGGCAGACCAGCTCTGGAGCTTGGCCTTAAACTCAGCTGTGAACTTGTTGGCTGAACACAAAGGCAGGTGCTATATTTCATGTGCACGTAGTCAAAAGATTTCAAACATTCTAAAGTTATTTTATTAGAAGGGAGGAGTGAACACTCTTCTATACAGATCCACTCTACTGAGATCATGGAAAAGCACAAATATAAATACCATGACATTATTATACTATCATCATTAGCTCATCCTGCAAACATCTACTCTCCACAAACTTAAATAGAAATCATTTTTGCTATCAATACTAAATCTTAAATCCCTTAAATCTAAGATATTAAGATCAGGAACCGTTTTATTAACTCAAACTTATAGCAAAAAGCTGTTCAACTCGGATTGCCGAGATCGTGACAA